GAAGTTGGTTGAACTTATACCATCCCTTGTGCATATTTAAATCTGAACATTCTTCTTCAACCTGTATTTGCATATATGCTTCAGAAAGATCCAGCTTCAAAAAAAATTTTCCACCATTTAAATTCACAAAAATTTCCTCTGGACTTGGTAGTGGGTAGTTATGGGGTTCTAAACACTTGTTTAACCCTGTCAAAAAATCAGGACAAACATGAATTTTATTATTTTTCTTCCTTTATTTACACTGCTGGTTCTGCCCATATTAAATGGTAAATCTTTTCAATTAGACTTTTTTCAAGTCTGTCTAATTCTTCATTGACTTTATCCAATGCTGCAAATAGCATGCTACATTTTCATTTTAAACACTGGCATCGATTCTTTTTTTCACTTGAAATTTCACTTTGACTTTGGAACACCAACCCAACTCATCCGACAGAACATCTGAAAAATACTTTTTCAATTCTTCCTTTAAATTTTCACAGTTTTTTTAAACTGGTAACTTGTTTTTTTTGTAATAAATATTTATAAATAAATCCCACAATTCAAATAATTCCATCCAATCAGTACCAACTAAAATTGTAGTATTTTTTAATACGTAAGCCTTAGCTTTTATACACTTCTTATGAAATGAAACATTACAAGTCATTTCAGCAATAAAAAATAATTTCTTACCAACACTCCACAAACGATTTTTGAAGTTCTTTTTAATATAGGTTTTTCGTTTACTTTCCATGTGGCTTCGTTGATTATTGTGATATCACTACCAGTGTCTAGTTGCATATTAATTTTCATTTACAAAAATTTTCTTTGGTTTTCTGTAATTATTTTTTTCCCCATTGGAACACTGTGTACAAAATTTTTTTCTATAAGAACTTTTCCTTGTTTTAGTTTTACAGTGTGACTTTTTATGTCCTACTTATCCACACTTGTAGCACTTCAAATTCTTAAAGGGACAGTCGACTTTGAGATATAACCTTCCACATCTGAAGTTTGGAATAATTTTTCTTTTTCCACATTTTTTTTCTTCAATTTCTTCAGTATTGCATCTCAGATTTAGGATTCCCTGACATTCGTGCGATATTTCTTTTATTATTAGTTTTTGATTCTGTTCAACTTTTATTAGAATTCTAGCACATATTTCTACGTCATTTTTTGCCATTAACCCTTAAATGAAAATTGACCCTTTAAACACATCCAGGGTCAGTTCATTTAATTTTAATTTTTCACACTCTTTGTTAATGATTCCAGCATATGTAACAAAATCTTCATTTTCTTTTTTCATCAATACTTCCAACGAGTATTGAATAACCAACTTTTTTTGCTAAATAGTTTTGTCAGGATATTTGTTTCTTCAAAGGAAATTTCTCCTGGTTTTTCAGTAGTACAAAATTACAGTATTTTTCATGTTCTACTGGTGCTTTCTCCACAAAAGTCTTGTTTTGTTTTTTTTGTTTTTTTCTTGTCTTCGCAGTTGCTGCATTCTTCTCTGAAAATTTCCTTGTATCTTCTAAAATAAGCGGAAAAGATAATTCCTTCATCTCAATTGTATGTGAATTCAGTTATGGCATTTGCCATTGTGTCAGGAGTGAAAGAACTTGTTGAATTTTTCATTTTCTCCGATATTATTTCAATTAAATTTTATTATTTCTGGAGTTCCAACAACTATGGTTGTTGCTGTTAATTGTATTGTATTTTTACCACTTGGCCTAATAATTCTTCCATATTTGAAGAATGTCTGGGGTTTTTTTTTTTCTCTTTTTTTTTTTTTTTTTTTTTTTTTTTTTCTTTTTTTTTTTTTTTTTCTTCTTTTTTACACACACTAAAGAGCAAAAAAAATGAAACCAACATGATTTTAATTTCTCGTCATCATTTATGTGTGCCAAAGCAAAAAAAAAAAAAAAACAACTTTTTCCTACTCATATGAATTTCAATTCCTTGTTGCCACTGTTATAACTCACTCCTAGTGGTTATAATATATCTCACTTAGGCACTTGCCATGGTGTCACTAGAATTCTCCCTGACAGACTCTAACAGACTACTCTCACTGAGTTCTTTATTTAAGATGTCTTGCATAGATCATTTGTGTTATGGTGGTGATGGGGGGTATTTACTCCACAACAGTTATTTTCCTTAATAACATGAGGGTGATGATTTATGAAAAATTTTGACATTTTTAATCTAAAACTTGTTTCAACAAGTTTTAATACTCAATTTGTTATGCATTGAAAATTTAAAATAAAAAAGGGAGAAGATGATCTATGTTGATAGATTATTAATATAACAAGTCCCTGGGGCCCACAAGTGGTGGTGATTTGGGTGCATCCCTGGGAAATTCAATGGGTCCCAACTAAAGTTTCTTAAACTTTTGCGGGTCTACAGACTTTTTTTTTTTTTTTTTTTTTTTAAATCATCAACTGAAATTTTAATCCTACCAAATCACTTAAATTGACAGAACAACATTTAATCACAATTCAATTAAGAAACTATATTTTTTATATTTTGGGGGAATTATGACAGAACAAAGTTTTTAAATTAAAAGTGTTTTTTATTGAATCAATAAAGTTAAAACTAAAACAGTATTTAAAGTAATGGTCAGCAAACTTCAATGAATTTAGGCACGTCAAATAAATTTAAAAAAAAAATTAAAAGAAACAAGTTTCTGGTAAGGTGACATTCATGCCACTCACATATCCTATCACCCAATAAAAAAAAGGAAAGATTAAGTAAAAGAAAGAAAAGAAGAACTAGCAAAAAGTATTTGAAAGAATATGTACAATGTATTGCTTTCCAAGAGAAACCTTAGTCAAGTTACTGCATCCTTTTTTATTTTTAGATTTTTATGTATCAGTGATGCAGAACACACACCTATTATCAACTCGGAGAATGGGATCTTAAGAGGTTCGGTTATTAATGCAAGCAAAATAGAATTATAATAAATATAATGTTTACATTTTCATAGAGTCCTTTAGTCTTCCTCGCTTAAATGACTTTGCATAAAAGAAATGATTTTTTAACTATGAAATTCATTTTTCTACTAAGACTAAAACACACTTGAACACACAAAATCTGTCTCTGCTTAAAGTTATTCAAAATATCATAATTGCCATGTCATTTTCTTTTTAAAAATCCATCAGCTTTCTGATTAGAAAATAAAATCTTTATTTCTATATCAGAAACAATCTCTTAACATTGTATTTTGATTCTACAGATTAATCATTTTAGGCTGTGTATTGCTTTTCCTATTTTCATAGCACAGCCTAAGAAGCCAGTTTCAAATGAATGGGGACTCCATCAGACAATTAGCCATATGAGCCATATAATAAAACTTATATGTCCTAAACAAAACTGTTGTTGTCCTATTTCCAGTCTGATGAATCAGACTGGAAATAGGACAACAACAGTGTGGGTTCATTAAAGATACTGGAACAAGGAGTGTCATATTTATGCTCAGAATGATATCAGAAAAAGCAATACAAATGCAGAAGGGTGTGTACCTGTGTTATTTGGGTTATACAAAAGCATTTGATAAAGTACATCACAAAGAACTGTTTGAACTGCTAGGTGACCTTAACATATTTGGGAAGGATATTAATCCAAAACCTATATTGGCAGCAAACTGTAAGCATATGGATAGAAAATGAGTTCAGTAAATATACAAAAATAGAAAGGGGTGTAAGACAAGGATGTGTCTTCTCACCGGACTTATTAAACCGAGAACAGTGAGTTTAATTCTGAGAGAATTAGAAGTTCTACCAGGCTTCATTATTGGTAGCCACAATCTTAACAAAAGATATGCAAATACACATAGCAGACATAGAAAGGAAATTACAACTCCTACAGAATGTAGGCAAGAAGAAAGATTAAATATCAATTGCAAGTAGATAGAATGCATGTTTGTTAGCAGAAGGTATAGCCCAACATACAAATTACAAACTAGAGATATCAAAATTAAACAAATACAACTATTTAAATATCTGGGAAATGTTTTAACTGCAGACAGAAAGAACAACACTGAATTCGAAGTTGCATTTGAATAGTGAAAGGTGCCTCCCAAAAGCTAAGCAAAGAATTAAGAAACAGGAAAATTTCATTAGAACCAAAAAGAGTGCTGAACTGTCATTATATAGCTCCGATGTGGCAGTGAATGCTGGGCAATCTCCTCAAAGATGAAGAAGAGATTTGAAGCAACAGAAATGTGATTCTAGAGAAAGACACTGACAATATCATGGACCAAACCTGTGAGCAACAATGAAATTTTAGAGATAATGGAAACAAAAAGGGCACTTATATTTATAATCAGAAAGTTGAAATTTCTAAGGCACATAATGAGGAAAGGAGGCTTGGAGAATTTGACAGATTGGAGGTGAGAGGGATTGGGGGAAAATAATGTATAACCTACCTAGCGTGTGTGAATAAATGGATAGCAGAACAGGGTTCAGGAGCAAAAAGACAAATTTTATTAAGAGCTACAAAGGAGAGGAAATTGTGGAGAGCCATGATCACTCCCTTCCTGAAGGAACACAACACATAGAAGGCAAAGACCTGTTAAGAGTTTTCAATTATAACATTTTGAGTAATATTTATTGAGTGGTAAACATTAAGGGAATTACTTTTGCAACAAAAAGAAAAATGTGCATTTTGGACTATGTAAATTCTAAATTGTTTGTACTTAATAAATATTTGACTTACCTGTTGATTTTTCTGTAAAAGTTTATCAGTATTTTCACTTCAGAGTTTCTCTTATCAGAAATAAATAATATAAAAAAAAAGGGGTCAAGAGATAAATAAATTTGGATGCTGAACTATCAATAAAAAAAGAAAATGTTAAAAGTTAAATTTTTTTAATGAAAATATTCAGTAAATATTTATTTTTTGTTTGTTTTTCTATTTACAGGTGTCCTGTGATTATTCCAAAATCATGAAATTTCCAAAATAGGATTTGAAACACTATTTTAAACAGACCCCCTCAAAAATAAAAAGGGTACAAAATGGCGACAGATATTATGTTACCAAAGTCCCCTCGTAAGGGAAAGCTTGTGAACCTCCGGGTTCAATTACTGGATGATAGTTATCACACTTTTCTAGTACAGGTAAGTAAAATATTTTCTCTATTTTCTTCTTTACCTTCCATGTTTCTATTTACAAAGACTTAGGTTAAGACTTACGATTCATCCCATCATTTCCTTATAAGATTTTTTAGATAAATTTTTTTTTTTTTTTTTTTAAACAATGCTAGTCTATTGTGCTTATCTTGTCTAAATTTTACTTTTGCAAGATTGATAGTTTAGAAAGTCTTGTTATATATATTTTTTTTAGCTAACTCAAATATTTCTTTGGTAACTGCCAAAATTTATACTTTAAATTCTCAGTATTTTCACATCTCCTACTGAACACATTCATTAACTACTTGAGAGCCAACATTTTTGTATCACTTATATTGGGACAATCATAATGCCATTAATGATGATTTAGAATTTGATTTTTTTATAAGTTGTCTGTTTATCAAGATTTCACAAACCTGCAGCAGACTTTGCAGACAATGATGTTCTTTCTCAGATCCTGATAGATTAAATGGTTTAGAAAGTTAAAGTAAATACATAATAAAATGGTTGAAATGTTCAAAGTCCTTTTCTTTAAAAAGAAGAATGTTGTTTATAAAAAGCTAATGTTTTTTTTCTGCTCTACAATATTAATGCTACACTGATAGATTGAGTGAATAAAAAGGAAAACTTAGTCTTTGCTTTGCATCAGGCAGCACAACATTGTAAGGAATGTGAACAATGTTCTCTGATAAACTGAAATATCCATATTTCTAATGGTAACCACTCTGTTTAGAATGTGACGCTTTATTATTGTTGGATAATAATCCTGTCATTGTTTCCATTAAAAATCCACTCCTCTCATTACATTTTTTAATTTAATAATTTCATCATTAATTCATGAATAATGTGAAAATTGTTTCACTTTAAGAGTCAAAATATTTGATTATGTCTTGAAAATTCTGACTGAATAGCAGTGTTTCCGATTCTGACAAAAGGAATATTTTTTATCTTTTTTTCTTAATATCTACTTGCCCATGAGTTTCTGTGCACTTCTGCTATAGGAAGTATTTAATCAATAAATGTATGTATGATGACTGAAAGAAAAGTGAGTTGGGTAAATATAATTCTTGTATAACTTCTTTTGTTCAATTTTATTTTGTTTTCATTTTATATCATAAAGGATATTTCATGCAAGTAGGATTATATCTTTTTGATATATTGAAATCTTCAGTTATCATATAGCAGAAAGATTTTTTTTCCTCTCTCACTTTTGTCAGCTTCTGAAAGAATTTATGGGACTGTTAAGATAATCAGTCCTTTGCATGATTTTAGTCAATTTAAAGATAAAACATTGGTGTATTGTCTAATTTGTGTGAATTGGGAGTTTTACTAGTATCAGGTTAACCATTATTTTACTTTTATTAAGCACTAGTTTGGAAACACTAGTTTCTTTATGATCACTGAATTAAGTAACATTGAGCCTTTTCAGTACCTAGATGGGCACTTGGTATAGTGGATAATGGCTTGAAATTGTTGATCAGAGAGCCAAGTTCCAATTCCATTTAGATTTGTTATATTCACTTATGCACAAATACCCTTGGGAAAGGTATGAATCCACCTCTTCCCTCTCCAGTTATTGGTTAATTAGTAAGACTTGTATCACTAAACCATTATTATCTAAAAAAAGAAAAAAAACAAAATATTCTAATCTAAAAATATTTCCTGTCTTTAAATAACCTGTAAAAGGTTGATAAGCCATACAAAACAAATCAATCAATAAACTATTTTGGAAAGACTTGTTTGTTTTTCAATCTGCTCTTTCATTCAGAAGGAAAAAAGATTTTTCTAATTCAGGCAATGAATTTTCTTGAAAAAAAAAATTTATTGCAGAGAGCATGTTTCAATTGGTTGTTTTAATTAAACACCTCTTTTATTGTTTAAATTGAATTTAACTGATTAAACTGCTTTTTTATTGTTTTAATTGGTCATGAATTAAACACTTTAATTTTTTAATATAAAATTGAAAAAATACATTCCTCTTCAAAGTTCATTTCTTAAAAACAATGTAAATGGCTAATATGAATTCATGTATCCAAGTTACAATATCAAATTTATGTGGTTTGCTGTTATTGAATGGTTTACATATTTAAAAAAAAATAATTTTCTATTAATACCTGAAAATATTTTGCTTTAAGTAAATAAAAACTTGTTACAAGATACAAGTGTTTTTTTCTTATTACAATCTTTCACAGAACCAATATTTTGTCTAGCAATTTCTCTGATGGAAGTTTGTCTACATTCTTATATTTAATAAGTATTTTGTAAAGAAAATAATATAGAAGTAGTGTAAAGAACTGTCATAATATGATGCATAATATTTGGAGAGTCCATAAAGACTTTGATAACCTTAATGAGATTAATATTGATGATTTTATTTTCAAATAAAAAAAAAAAAACATTTAATAATGAAAAGAAGTTAATCAAAATGAAATAACCACAGGTATTTTTATTTTCCAGTTAAAAAATATAAAATATTTTATGAATCTTTAAATTGAATTTATTATCATCTAAGTTTAACTTTTGTTTTTTTTTTTTTTTTTTTTTTTTTTTTTTTTTTTTTTTTTTTTTTTTTTTTTTTTTTTTTTTTGTTTGTTTGTTTGTTTGTTTTTTTTGTTTGTTTTTTTTTGTTTGTTTTTTTTTGTTTTTTGTTTGTTTTTTTGTTTGTTTTTTTGTTTGTTTTTTCAGTTTTTCTTTATCTTCTCTTTATGTATGTTCACTAGACTCTGATAAAAGTCACATAACTGTTGTGGGATTTCTCTAACAAAAAAGATATTGATTTTATTTCATATTCCTTCCTCTTTTCTGCATGTTCTTTTAAATGTCAAAGGTGAGAAGAATGCATTAGTTTGAATTTTGACTCTGAATCTATACTGCTACTGCAAATCTTATTACTAACTCTATATGTTTACAATTGAGTAGAATATCTTGAATTTATTTTTCTCAAATTGTTTTCAGGCATGTACATCAAGTCTTGTCAAGTGGTTCTATTTGCTACTGTTTTACCTGACATTTTCTCTCCATTTATTGTCTTTGTTTTAATGCTTCAAGAAATTAACATTTAGCTCTTGAGTTAAATAAATATCTTTTATTTTTCAAAATTTGAAAGAAAGCTTTAGTCAGACATAATATTCCTCAAGTGATATTTTTCGTAGATTTATATGTAAAGTTCACACTTGTTGATTTTCATCCAAACAAAAAAGTGAGTAGATGTAGAATTGAACTTGAAATTATGAATTATATTCTTCTCTATTTTCCTTGCATTTTCAGCCTTAAAATTAACTTCTTTTATTGAAAATGGATATAGATTTTAAAGAATTTTTAATACCAACAAATACAATGTTTCAAAACATTAGATTATAAAACTTAGAACTTGATTCCCAATGTAAGGTTATGCTTTCCTTATATTTCTAATAATAATGGTAATAATCTGGCTGTAAAAGTTGCTCTTGGCTTTTTAGACATTACTTGGATATGAATTGTTGTTGATGTAAATATGTATGTCAGTTTTCATTGTGTTGTGTTTTATAAAAAGAGAAAATAAAAAGGCCACCCCAAACTCCAAGAATAAATTTTTAAATGGACATAAAGAAAAAAGGGAACAGAAAGGGAGAGCTATAAAATATTTTGAAATTTCATACCGTCCATTATAGAGACTGCTAAGATCTGATTTAATCTCAGTGCTAACAATGACATTTGAGGAACACGATATGAAAACTGCTTTTAAATCATCTCCCCTCCTTGTTGCCAGTGGCTTGATATTATTCATTTTATTCAAGATTAAAGAAAGCAAATTTGATTCTTGCTGAGGATACTTTTTGTAGACTGTATCCACAACTTTATATAATGAGATTGTGTGCATTTATACCATTTTTTTTTTTTTTTTTTTTTTTTTAGCTAGATTTATATTTAATTTACCATCATCTTTTCCTTTTTGTGCTTTGCTTCATATTAAATATTTTTTTCTCTTTGACAAGAAAAATCTTCAGAAAGTTTTTTATGTATATGAATATTAATAGAAGAGAGAACTAAAGGAAAGCTTGAAGAAGTGGCATGACTAGTTCATACAGTTCAAATTCATGGAAAATCAGACTTTGAGATGATGTGAGTGGAAGAGTGCATTGTCAAGATTATTTTAATTATAATCATGTTTAAAACTACATTGTAATACCTGTTACCTGGACAATATTTTTGGTTCAGTAGGTTATTCCCTTCTTGTATGCTGCTTTTAAAATAACTCTTTTATTGAATTTGTTAAAATGGGAAAAGTTTGATATATTTGTTTTTAATAGCATATTTATAGAAAAATTAATTAAGACTGATTAGATATGTTTCATAGTAAAGAGTGTTTTTATATTTTCATATTTCACTATCAGGAGAGGAAGAAACACGTTATAGTTAAGTTTTTTAGAATGGATTACACTTGATGCCAATTGTAGAAAAATTGGTTCAGTAAACAAAAACAAAAATTCATAAAGAAGCTCACTGTGTTACAAATTCAAATGCTAGTAAATTGTCCAACCCCATCTTCCATAAAACGAAGAGGCCAAAAGTCCAGTGCTGATAAATAGTTCAAAAGTTGCAACTGTTTTTCTCCTGTTGTATGTGGCTGTTTAGAACCACTTTATCATCACTGCAAGATGGTGTTGTCCTCATTGTTTCATTTGTTAGGTGATTGCAGTGTCACCAATACCATTCTTTTTTCTTTCTTTTTTTTTCACACCAACAAATGTAAGGGAAACGTATTGTGTTTGGTGCTAGGAGAGGGGGGGCTTCTTTCCCCTCACTGCATCACTCACTACTGCTTTGCAATATGCTATGAAGTCTCGCAGGATAATGGCTTCCTCATTCATGAAGGATGCATCATCAATGTTCTCTGACACATTTGGAATGGTTCAAATATTCTTGATATGGTGTGGAACTTCTTCACCCTCAATGGATTGTGAGCAGTGATCCTTCCCAATCCAAACTTCAAATTACACTGGTGTCAG